ACAGCCCGATCTAAACAACTTTGGATGTCCTGCATCAAAACTCCGAGCAACTGAATATTGCCATGCATTAAAGCAATCAAGATTCAATAGCACTAGACATGAAAAACAATTGCAAAGAGTAAAAAAAGAAATGTGTCAGTAACACATCTAGCCTTTTATCTAGCTTCTGTGCTTCTACATATGTCAATCTTTGACTGAAATGCCAATCTTACACCAACTGGAGCAATTAAAAAAAAGGAACCGATCTCTGCACTTTGAGATCTGTTTTTGTCTTGAGGAAATCCAGGGCTCAGCTCTTTAAAAAAAAATCCAAATCTCTGCAAGATAGTTTGTACAAAATCCTGTCTCCACATATCCATTGCTTCTTTTCCTGTGGGAAAACCTCTGATGACCTTTAAATGTCCTCCAGTCATCCAGCTAAGAAAGGAAGGAGTGATTGTGGACAGTTCTGAGATTTCACAGCCTCTGTTCATTGTTTATTCCCGAATGGTTGTTTGCTTGGCTAGAAAGAAAATGTGATTTCAGATGCTGCTTCCTTCTATTACGAAGGACAGCAGAGTTTCTCAACCTTGACTACTTTAAGGTGTGTGGACTTCAACTCCCAGAATTCCCCAGCCAGCATGGTCCACCCCTCTTAAAATTGGTAAGATCGAAAAACACCTCCGTGTGTGGACTTCAACTCCCAGAATTCCCCAGCCAGCATGGTCCACCCATCTTAAAATTGGTAAGATTGAAAGCCTTGGTCTACGTAATGGGGACAATCCAGGTCATGATGGAGACATAACATATGTCCATTTTAAAACTTACATTTAGCACACACAAAGGAAGCAGGGGCAACGGTTGGGAAGCGTGGTTTTGCAAACCCCTCACATTGACACTGTACTTTAAAACCACATTAAACAATCCAAAAGAGGGTTCCCCCCCCCCAGATCCCTCATAATTGCCAGTCTGTCTCTCATGCAATGCGTCTGAATGGTCCACCGATTACAGTAGAGAATGGTAACATCCAATCCGCTAAATATTAAAAGCAGCTTGCCTGCTGCCAGCGATGGATTAAGAATATACGGGAGCTTTCGCTGTACCACAGCCTGGGGAAAAATCTGTGGCCAATGCAAAACGGAAAGGGGAAATACAGAAGCCAAACTAAATAGAGGAGGGAAAGCATCTCTTCCAGTTTTATAGTAAAGCACTGGTTCTCAACCTGTGGGTCGGGATCCCATTTGGGGTCGATCAACCATTTCATGGGGGTCGCCAAGCAAGGCTGTCCGCCATTTTTTTGTCCGCCATTTTTTTCCCCCTTTTCTGGCAGGTGCCTTACCTCCCTTGGGCTGGGCCAGCTGGTGGTCGGCCTGCTCCGTCTCTGCCGCTTGCCAGCTACGCCTCGGCCGGCGCAGGGGGCGGAACCACGCATGCACGGCACTCCCAGGCAGGGAAAGTCCTCAACTTACGACCGGTTGGGTAGTCCTCGACTTACGACCGGTTTAGTCCTCGACTTACGACTGGTTTAGTCCTCGACTTACGACCGGTTGGGGTCGCGGCATTAAAAAGGTTGAGAACCACTGTAGTAAAGTAAAGCCAATCCACAAAACAGGCGATGTGAACACGGAGACGCTAAGAACCAAATCTGAACTGCAAGACAGTCAGCCACGAAGGGGCAGCTTAATGCCATGCAAACGGCAGTGCAAATGCTGCAGATTAGTGTTTCTCAACCTTGGCAAATTTATTTAAGAGGTGTGGACTTCAACTCCCAGAATTCCCCAGCCAGCATGCTATTCTAAGAGCAGACCCGGGCATTTGACAGCCCCTGAGCCACATCTGATGTTTTGGTTGTCCCTGTCCGTCATGCAAGGATTGCTTATATTTTGAAAGCAACTTTTTTTTTTTAAATGTTGATGCCTACGTACCTTCACAGCATTTCTGGTTCAGCCCTCCACAAGAGTCCCAATTTTTGAGGGGACCTCTGGAGAAAATTAATTGCCCATCCTTGTATAAGAGGCATGGACTTCAATTCCCAGACTTCCCTAGCTAGGCTGCTTTAACATTTGTGGACTTCAGTTCCCAGAATTCCTTAGTCAGTATGCTTTAACACACGTAGACTTTAGTCTCTAGAATTCTCTGGCTTTTCAGACACTCAATTTCAATCTCCCAGTATGCTGGCTGGGGAAGTTGAAGTCTACCCCTCTTCAATTCGCTGAGGTTGATACACTGATGCAGACTTGAAGTGGCACAATTCTGAAATAATCACTATCATATTTGGGGAACCATCAGATTTTAGCAAGGAGAGTCCAAATTTGATTTTTTGCTATTGTTTATTGATCATTTGGAGTGTTGCAATCCTCATGCTGATCTACTCATGCAGTGGCAGATTTTTATTTTTTGAAATATAACTCGCCTATTCTGTCAACACTCTCTCTATAGTAACCCACCACGTAGGAACAGACAACATGCTCCTGGTGTGTTATTTTCTTAAACCTCTGTTTTTATTTACACATGCCCAGGTTTATCGGCTTTGAAACTGCATCAAGCTCCCCCAGGCTGCTTCCAGCTAGACACCTTTACACAAATTTTTGACTGTACAACATAAAGCCCAAGCAGTCAGGCTGGGAACCAAACGCCATTGCTGTAAGAAATAGTAGAGTGCTTATGATTATGTTCTAGCAAACTTTAAAAATACACCGCACAGATGTAAAATCAAAGGAGTCTCTATAATAAAAGTTTAACTCTGGGACAGGCATATATATATTTAAAAAGATAATTGGTGGGTGGTCATATAAATTTAATTTATAATAATGCTTTATATAAGGATTAACAGAATTCACGGGGAGGCTGGATTCGGGTTTCTTGTGGCTACGCAATGATTCCAAACTGATGACACATTTAATCCCACCTTTCCCCTCAGCTTCTTCTTCTCCTACAGTTGATAGGTTTTGTGATGTAAGAAATGATAGTTACCTGTCATCAGGATTCATTAATCACATATCTCCTTATCAAGTCACTAAAAAGAATAGAATAGAATAGAATAGAATAGAGCTGGAAGGGACCTTTGAGGTCTTCTAGTCCAGCCCCCTGCTCAAGCAGGAGAAGAACCTATACTGTCTCAGATAGGTAAATGTCTAGTCTCTTCTTAAAAATCTCTAGTGATGGAGCGCCCACGATTTCTGGTGGCAAGCTGTTCCACTGGTTGATTGTCCTCACTGTCAGGAAGTTTCTCCTTAATTCCAGGTTGCTTCTCTCCTTGATCAGTTTCCAACCATTGTTTCTCGTCCTTCCCTCTGGTGCTTTGGTGAACAACCTGACCCCCTCTGCCTTGTTGCAGCCCCTCAGATACTGGAACACTGCTATCATGTCTCCCCTATTTCTTCTTTTCACCTACTGGTAGAAGAAAATTGGATCTTATTATTTGGTGCAGTTGGATGAGCAACCTAATCTGATTGCAACCTAATATTTCTTAACCGCCCATCTTCCTTGGAGAGGGGCCCTGGGCGGTGTACAGTATCATCAATAAAACTAAACATTAAAATCAGAATAGAAGTGATACTCCAACACCTCCTTCAGATCAAGGCCAGTCCAGGGTTCATGGAGGAAGAGGACACGACCTCCGTCCTAACCTTTTCTCAATGTACATCCATTCAGAAGGATGTACAGGTAGTCCTCAACTTATGACCACAACTGAAACTGATATTTCAGTCGTTAATGATGTGGCTGCTATGCAACCACTTTTTATCACGGTTATTAAGTGAATCCCACATCCCCAGCTGCTTTTGTCAAAAGCCAGCTGGGAGATTGCAAATTATGATTAACAACTACAAGACACCCCAGCCATCATAAATGCAATTTGGTCGCAAGCATCTGATTTGCGACATGTGAGTAAGGAGCGTGCAACACTCACACCTGAAGAATGGGTCATAAGTCACTTTTTCCCGAGGCCATCATAAATTCAAACCATCGTTTAAAAACAGTCATAAATCAAGGACCTTTTTTGACATGCTATATTTATTTAAAGTCCATGTTTTCCGTAGAACTGCCATCTGTTCTGGAAGTATTTTAGAGCTTCACATTTTCTTGCATTGCTCATTTGGAAATATAATGAAGCAAAGCCACCCAATGTTAAATGACTTTTAACTTTTTAATTCAGTCTTTTCCTAACCCAGATGCTCAGCATGGGAAGTTCTGGGAACTGCAGCATCTGGAAGGTAACAGGATTCCAGGAAGTTTTTTTTTTTTTTTTGCAGAATCTCCTTCCTGTAGTTGCTCCAAGAGAAATAAATGATATAAATCCCGATTGATATATCCGGATTATCCAGGCACCTTTCCCGCCCCCAAAAAATAAAAAAAACACCAGAAAAGAGGATCAGGAAAAGAGGACCGCCCTTCTCTCACTAGTCCCGCCCCTTATGCTAATCAGCGCTGAATCATCTGGAAAAAAAAAAAAATCCCCAAACGCGCTCAGGCTAGATCCCGACCAGCCTTGACGGGGCGAAACCACCCCTGCAGCGAAAGGGGAGCCGAGAACGCCAAGTAGCCTCCTCCGCCATTCCCCTCACCGTTTCAGCGCTCAGACGACAGCGGAATGACATTTATTCCTTCCCTTATATGATACAGTGTAGGGGAAAAAAATCACCACCCGCGCTGGCAGAGAGGCCGTCCCCGTTTCCCATCGACGTGTCCCCCCCTGGCTTCACTTGGTATATCCCCTGTTTCAAAAAAAAAAAAAAAAAAGCAGCCGAGAAGCGGAAAGAGGAGGAGGAGGAGGAGCAGGAGGGGCGGAGCCAGGGGCGAGCCACGTGACGCAGGGCTCCGCCGCCATTTTGTTCTGCGGCGGCTGGGTATTTAGAGCCAGCGGCGGGCGCAGCGGAGGACCGTCCGCGCAGGACCGCCGTCGTGTCGACACCCCCGCCGTCGCCCCCCCCGCCATCTTGCTTCGTTCCCAGGCGGCGCAGCGAGGGCTGAGGAGAAGCCGAAGTAGAAGCCGAAGCCGCGCCCCCCCCCACCCCCCGCTCAGCTGCCCGACCTTCGCAGCAGCAGCCGCCGTCTCCCTCCTCTTCCTCGCCCCTCACCCGGTTCCGCCATGAGTACTGCTCCGGCCGGCCCCGAGTACTCCTCCTTCTTCGCCGTCATGGGCGCCTCGGCCGCCATGATCTTCAGCGGTGAGGCACCGGGAGCACCGCCGGGGGGGGCAAGGGGGGGAAGGGAGGAAACCTCTTGGGGGGGGTCTGTTGCCATGGGGACGGCGCCCCCCGCCCCTCCCTCTCTCCTTCCCTCCCCCCTCCCTCTCTCTCTTCCCCCCCCTCCAGCCCAGGCCTGCCCTTACACGACCCACCAGCTCTTTGAATTGGGGAGGGTCTCCAAAGGAGGGCGGGGGTGGGGTCGTGTGGACGGGATACCCCGTGGGGAGGGTATCCCTTTGGGAAAGCGCAGAGAGGGTGGCTGGGCTGATGAGCGGAGCCTCTTTTTTTCCCCCTCGCCCTTCGAGGGCGGGTGGCAGCCTGCCAGGCTGGGGAAGATGGGAGCTGGAGTCCGCTGCCCCGCTGGGAAAGACTGCTTTGATCTTTATATATATATGTATGTATGTATATGTGTATATGTATATGTATATATGTGTATATATATGTGTGTGTGTATATATATATATATATATATATAGAGAGAGAGAGAGAGAGAGACTCCCGTCTTCCTCTCTCTCTCTCCCCCCCAATAAAGAGTCGGGAATGCCACCCCCGTCCTGGTGGCGGTGAGGTTGGCGCATTGGGAAGGGCAGCGGTGGCGGGCAAGGCTGGCGATGTCGTCTCCTCTGGCTGCTGCCTGGAAGCCCCACCCTGCTGGAAGGATCCAGTAGATTATTCCCCCCCACCCTTCCCTGGCTTGGGAAGCCCCCCACCCCTCCCCGCAGATCCCCTGGGAAATTGGGTGCCTTGGGCTTGGAGGGCGATGTGTGTATGGGTGGGTGCCCTTAATGTTGATCTCTTTTAAGCATCTTTTCCCTCCAGTGCCGCCCTGCCAGCAGCATCTGTGTTACATCTGCCTGCTTTTCTCCAGTGTAAAAAGAGGAAGGGGGGGGTCTGTCTTTTGTGCCAGCCTGCTCCCCCTTCCCCCACCCCATCATTTAAAAGCGGCCGACTGGCCTCTTCTGGCTCAAGTGGCTGCAGAGATGTTCCTGCCCAGGTAAAGGGTGGAACCCCAGTCTGGCTGGAGCCAGACAAGGCCTGCCTGCTGCTTCTCTTATGCCAACCTTCCTGTTTTGGTCTGGGGGGGGGCTGCTTTGGGGAGGGTCCTTTGCTCTTATCCAGGGAGGTGGAAGGAGCAGATAGGCAGGTTGCTTGGGAAAGGCAAATGGGGGTGATGTCATAACACCAGCTGAAGGAGGAACCCTGAACCGGCCATATGACTGTGGGGAGGAGAGAAAGAGGGAGCTTTAGAGGCCTCTGCTGCTTCCCCACATGCGTGAATTCTGCTAAGCTTGCAATGCACCTCCTGACCCTCTGGAGCATTACTGTCCCGTGCAGGGTCGCCTGGCTTTCTGTGATCTTTGGAAGGCTGCGAGAGTTCAGTGAGGCTTGAGAAACTGGTTTCCAAATGAAGGAGGAGCTGTAAAGAATAGAATTTTCCTTTCGGTATCTCCTTCCTTCATTGTGAAGGCTGGCTTCTCAGAACTGATACAGCCCAAAGTAGGCCAGGCTTGTGAGATCTATCCCTACTCCACAAGAATGGTCTGTAACTGAAGCTTGCAGATCTTGGAAGAATACTGTGAAATTCAGTCTTGATTTTGTGGCTGCTTGATGAAAGAAGAGTCCGAAGTGGCTGATTTCATGAAACTAATGGCCTTGCTGCTGCAGCCTCACTTGATTCTATGTTTAGGCTCACTTCACTGTACAGAACTGGGGCTCATGCAGAATTAGGACCTGGAGACACATCTCTGACCCTTATCTTTTTAGGGTGATAGGAATGGTGCAGATGTTGGTGCACAACTTGTAAATTTCCTTGAAGCCTGATTAAAATAAGCCTTTCCAGTCTTGTCAACATCCAGATGTGTTAGGATAACTGTTACAATTGCCTGCCATGTTATAACACTGATTGGTGGATACTGTTTTAGATTATTGCTTCAGGTTAAAAAAAACAAACTCTGGCAGCTGGCTTCACCTACCCTGTTAAGCCAGTTTAACCTTGGCTTTATTAAACCAGAATTGGCTGTGTTGATATACAGCACCATGCTAAGCTCAAACCACATTATGCCAGTTTGTCAGTATTAATAATACAAAATTCAAACAGTTTCCTTAAAATGAATACGCTTATATTTACAAACATGGCAATCTTAGAATAAACAGCCAAGTTTCTAAAAAATGATTATGTAATTCTGAAATATACTTGTCCCTGAGATATGATTGTAGAACTTGTGGCTTTTTCATTCTGAAGGTACTGTACAAATTGTGCCTTACTTGTCAATTTCTTTTTTGGGTTAAATTTTAAATAAAATTCAATTGATAGCGTCTGGGGAGAATCTCTTTCCCTGAAAAGCTTAATGTGCACAAGAATCATCCTTGAATATCATTTTTTATTTCTCTTTCCTCTGTTAGGGGTGTTGTGAGGATAAATTAGTTGTGAGAGTGGCTAGCCTGAGGCATCCCTGTGTTCGTTGTGACTGAATGGAAATGAGAGCTGCCCTCATTGAAGCCAAGGCAGTCTTTTGTGTTGGCCGTAGCTGTTCAAACCAGCATAATTGATTTTCTTGTAGGGGTTGAAAAAGGAATGAGCAAGGGTGGAAAAAAAGGCAAGCTTTAAGCTATTTATGCCATGCAACTTCTTTGAGCCCCTTTGCTGCCTTTTTCATGCAACTTAATACCTAACAGAAATACTTTTGCAAAGCAGTAAAACGTCAGGTTGACCTTTGCAGTTTATGGATCGTCTTTAATGAGTTGATAGTAGCAGCTTGCATCCTTGAACTGAAACCATTGGCCCTGCCCCAAGGCAAGAGGCTACTCATACTGATACCACTTCTAAAGACTAGAACGGTGTTTCTCAACCTTGACAATTTTAAGGCATGTGGACTTCAACTCCCAGAATTCCACAGCCAGCATTGCTGGCTGCGGAATTCTGGGAGTTGAAGTCCACATGCCTTAAAATTGTCAAGGTTGAGAAACACTGGACTAGAACATCTGTCTACTACTTGGCTCTGGTGCTGCCCCTCCACCCTCAGAAAATCCCCAATGCAGAAATAGCTAAATTCTAAATACCTTTTAATTTTTTTTACCAGCAGAAGGTGGACTCTATCCTCGGAGATAGTTGTATGCATATGATATAAAGCAGGGGTCCCCAACCCCTGGTCCGTGGACCAGTACCAGGCCATGGCATGCCAGCAACTGGTCCGCACAAACAAGCAAAGCCCCATCTGTGGGATGCAGGCAGCACACAAAACCACGCACTCTCCGGTCCATGGAAAAACCTTTCTCCGTGGACCGGTCTCTGGTGCCTAAAAGGTTGGGGATCTCTGATATAAAGCACAATGGAGTTCAGCTAGTCCTCGACTTATAACCACAATTGAGCCAAACATTTCTGTTATGTTAATTGTCAAGTGCATTTTCACCCTTTTTACAACCTTTCTTGCCACCGTTAAGAGAATCGCTGCAGTTAAGTTAGTAACACGGTTGTTAAGTGAATCCAGCTTCCCCATGGAATTTGCTTGCTAGAAGGTTGCAAAAGGGGATCGCACGACCCCGGGATACTGCAGCTGTCATAAATATGAGTCAGTTGCCAAAGCGTCCAAATTTTGATCATGTGACCCTGGGGATGCTGTAACCATCGTAAGTATGAAAAATGGTCATACGTCACTTTTTTCAGCACTATTGTGACTTGGAATAGTCACTAAACGAACTGTGGTAAGTCGAGGACTGCCAGCAGTTTATTGTATCTACTGTTGCAAGCTTTTTCTGATGCAACTTGTGTTGGGCAACTCTTAGTGCTTCCAAGTTGCCTAGTTAGTATTTTCTTCAATGAAATGTTGGATGCTTTGCTTGCAACAGGCCAGAAGCTAATCTGCTTGTGGCAGGCATCCCAATTGGAGAATCCTGAGGTGTGAATAACATAGGTAGGAATGTCATTGAGAGCTGCCATGGAAGGCCATAAGGAAGCGAAAAGGTAACATAGATAGGAATGTCATTGAGTGCTGCCATGGAAGGCCATAAGGAAGAGAAAAGGTGGTTGTCTATTATAGATCATAATGACACATTGAAGACTTAGCTGGCTGCTAGCAGATCCAAGTCTTGTTCCGTGCAAGCAGGCTGGATGCAGAAATGGTGTTGTATAAACACCTTCATCTTGGTTCCATACACCCTAATTGCTGATGATAGTAAACATCTCATAGAAACCATTCTAGTTACCGCTGGTTAATCTTGTGATGGCTAATTGCTTCACTGGTGACCTTCAGGCGATTGACACTGCAGTGGAGATTGATTTCTAACCTCAAGGGATCATGTGATATCTTTTCCCCTTTCGTTAGGTATAGCACGGATGGTCAAATGCCACTGAGTGATGCTCTTATTTAATTTTTCCATGCAACATGGCTAACTAAAATGTTTCTCATTGCAGAAGGAAATGGTGACAAATTTCCAAGGAGTAACATGGCCATATCCCCAACACGTTTCCTATTTTTTGCTACCTATGGTTCTTGCAGTGGCACGACAATTGAAATTATATATCATGTTAGGTCAGGGGCGAAAGTCCACAGGTCTTAAAGTTGCCAAGTTTGAAGGCCCCCGTGCTAAGCCATAGATGGTGTGTTTGGTTTCACCTTTGTTGCATGAACCCAATAAGCATTTTGGTTTACAAATCATGATTTGTGACAGAACCGTATAAAACATTGGCAGTTTTGCAGAGTGGGGAAATTGGGAGTCACAGATTTAATGGGCCCATCTCATATGAACAAGAATGGACTTGGGTCCTTTGGTTTTAGTTGCGATTTGCTTATTTTAGGGCTCATATTAGAATGTTTGTCTCTCTCAAAATAGTGATTGTGTCATCCGCTTTAACAGTTACGATTAAAGTGACTTTCTGCGCAGAAGAGCAGTTTGGAAAGTACATGTGCCTGGGATAATTCACGTGCCCTGGAACCATCTGTTAGCTAGCATGGTGGCTTGTCTTTCTGCTTTAGAGAGTT